TGATCTCTGGTCACCTATCTTGTTCTTCTGATACCACTATTGATGCTTCTTCATTGTCGTCAACATTGGATGTGAATGCCATGTTAAAACAAGTACTTGTCCAATTATTAATGGAAGCAATCACTGCAAATGGTAACAGCAATGAAGCGACTCCTTCTTCTGTTTCATTCGATCACTCTATGCATGACCATTCGTCTTATCTGAACCTTTCTGATGATGCCAATTGGACACCAGTGGATAGTGATCAATCATCATCGCCAAACATTAGTGGAAATGTCCATTCTGATCCCTCTCTGGGTGATTTCATTGGAGACGACCAAATCATGTGAAAAACACTGTTTCCCAGTGGAAAGTACAATATCAAGATGAATAAAAATTGAAGACATTCAATACTGACCTTTTACAAATTCGAATTCAATTTCAGCCAAACTAAAAACAATTAATAATCATTTCCAAAATAAGGGTTATGATAGCAATGATACATTCTAGCTTGATAACATTCGTCACTATCTTCAAAAACATAACCATTGCATTTTAGAGCTTCCATCTCAAGTTCTTCACCTTTTTTGAAAGTTTTCATTTGCAAAATGTAATGCGAATCCTTTGTTCTTCACTGCTGACAGAATGAGTTCCTTGTCAGATAATAACATGATCTTATCGAAAGGACACAATGGGAAGACCATCAAACCTAAGTGCATTGCCATTTTGTCTGACAGCTTCCAAAATCACTTCCTCATAAAATCGCTCTATTCCAATAAAAAAGGAAATTCAAAAAAAAAAAATGAAACGAAAACTTGCTGACAAGCTCAAGTCATCATCAGCCAACAACAACAAAAATTCATCATCGGAATCATCTACAAACAACAACTCAGCAACAAGCCGCGATAGCAAAACAGAGCAGAAAAATAACTCTTCCTCCGAACGACGCACCTCTAATGATATTAACAAAAACAGGCAAAGAATGATTGTACTTCCGAACCTCCACGAAAGAAAATTCTTCTCTTCCAGAAAGAAGATCAGTCAAATGGGAATTTAAATAACGAAAAACTCAAAATGTCGTTGTGGAACAAGATGAAGAGTTTCTTGCACACCTAAGAGATTCCGATAAAGTCAAAATGAGCAAGAAGGATGACTTGTTGAATAACTTTTACAATTTTGAACTGGAAACTCCAAAAGAATTTGAAAAGATGGACATTGTCAAGAATTTATATGTGGAACATCCGAGTGTCAAAGCCATGAAAAACGAGTCCGAGGTACGAGCAAAAGAAGACATCAAAGTTTTCTGCTCTCGTAAAGGAACTCCAATCCCAAAGCCAGTTTTACTCTTTTCACAACTCAATTTTCCATCTTTTATTCAAAAGCAAATCCAAGAAATGCAATTCAAAGAACCAACAGCTATTCAGAAACAAACATGGCCAATTGTTTTGCAAGGTTATGACATGATTGGTTTGGCCGAAACTGGCAGTGGTAAAACGTTGGCATTTGTATTGCCAGGTTTAATGCATGTGTTGGCTCAAAAAGAGCTAAAGAAGGGAGAAGGACCGGTCATGGTCATTTTGACACCAACTCGAGAGTTAGCCATACAAATTCACAAGGAATGTGAAAAATTTTGTAATGCAAGCCAATCGGAAAGCAAACCAATCAAGATTGCTTGTTTATACGGAGGAGAAGTCAGAAAAAATCAAATCAAGGAATGCCGAGCAAAACCAGAAATTGTTATCGCAACTCCAGGAAGACTTCTTGATTTTTTTACAAGCTGGTATTACTAACATGAAACGATGCTCATATTTAGTATTGGACGAAGCAGACCGAATGTTGGATATGGGTTTCAATCCTCAAATTTCTCAAATTGCATCTCAAATTACTCCAGAACGACAAACTCTATTTTTCAGCGCAACTTGGAATCGTGCTGTTCAGTCCATGGCCATGTCTTACGTAAGCAAAACCGAGCCACACTTTATTGTAAATATTGGATCGATAGAGACCAGTGCCAATCACAATGTTAAGCAATCCTTTATGTTTATTCAAGATAGCGACAAGATGGCAAGACTAATTGACATGTTGGACAAACTTATCAAGAATCCTGAGGATTGTAGAACCTTAATTTTTTGCAAAACCAAGAAACGTACTGACTTTGTGACACAAAAATTAAGAGAATCAGGTTGGCCCTCACTAAGTATTCACGGAGAACGAAAGCAAGAGGAAAGAGAGTGGGTTTTGAATGAATTTAGAAGTGGAGACACTCCGATTTTAGTTGCGACCGATGTTGCTGCAAGAGGTTTGGACATTGAGAATGTGAGATTTGTCATTAATTATGATATGCCTCACGATATTGATTCCTATATTCACAGAATTGGTAGAACTGGACGGGCAGGCAAAGAAGGAAATTCTGTTTCGTTTTTCACTCCTGATGATGTTCAGTTGTGTGCACCACTCATCAAGGTACTTGAGGAGGCTGAGCAAGAAGTGCCTGAAAAGTTATTGAAACTGCACGATCTCACTATCAAGTCGCACGGAGAATTAAGTATTTCTCAACAAAAAGCAAAGGACAAGCTTGATATTTTACAAAATAAAAAGAAATAAAAGTTGTTTGCAAACGTGAAAATGAATTTGACATAATTTTTTGGTTACTTTTTTTCGAATACGAGTTCTTTGACAGCACGTCTGATGGCACTACATTTCTGAAGAGACATCTTGGTAGAAAAGGTACAAGCATCGTTTGTTTGTCCCATAGATAAGGCAGGATAAAAAGCAAGCTGACCTGCCTCATACCTTGGATGATCAATCATTTTCTGAGAAAAATCCATCGATGAAACAAATGCTCCATCTTGTGTGTGGTTTAAGGTATGGATGTAATGTTTTCGTAAGCAGTAATTGAATGTGTGTCATGGAACAATAATGTCACAAACAACTACTCACTTTTCGCAAATGCAATTTTGTAATTTTTCGTATCCAAATAAACACCAATAACATATCCATTAGCTTTCACAATATTCTCATCCTCGACAGTACAATACTGTTTCTTTTGATTACAATTATATATTGAGTGAGATTTGTGATAAACACAATTTCCTTCTTCATAAATTGCAATACTAAAACTGTTTAACGATCCAAGATAATCTCTGAACTGAAAACTATATTCTGCATCAACATTAAACCGATCTTCAAGCTTTTCTCCCGATACCTGTTTACAATTCTCAATGTTCAATCTCTCAGTTAACACAATTCCAATCAAGAAATTGTCATACTGTCCACTCTTATGTACAATAAATTCAAAATAATGAATTCCTGAATTGTACATCATGGGTCGATTCACTACATTCACACCCGCTGAGGAGGAACCAAAATTTTCTGTCATTACTACTGTATTTCCACTTGGAAGAGATTCTTGCATCGAAGGAGAGGCAGTCTTTGTATTTTTGTAAGCCTCCAAATTGGTGATCATGGTTCCGCTGTAACACAACTCTTTTCGAAATAAATTATTCATTGTAAAACCAAATAATTTGAAAATTTCAAAACAAGTTCTGTAAGATCTATATTGTTGTTTCATGTTGTTGGCATGAGTATTATTTGAAAATGTTGTTGTCGAGTGTTCATCATTCTGATCAAAATTATTCAAACTATACAACTCAAGTAATAACTTGTACAAGGGTTCATTCACTCGAGTTGTATCCGAATCAACGAACCATTCATCGTGATGGAGTAGAGCGGTGGATGCTATTTCAGAATGTTGGTGATGATCCTCCTCCTCCTCACTCCTCCTCGGAAGAACAGAATGATCTGTCGTGATGGTGCTTGTGGAGGTCGATCCTTTTCTGAAGAAAGTGTTTAAGAATATGCGTTCCACTTTTGGAAACCAGACTGTTATTGGTAGTGGTGGTGGTTGTGGTGGTCTGGGAAGAAGACACTTGATGATGATCGAAGGCTTGATGATGATTGGAAGGTATGAATTGTTTAAAATTATCATCCATATGATAAATAATTCGGAAGAATCTCTTGCAAGTGAGTGGAACATGGATAAAGATGGAGGAAAGAGAATCAGTGAGATACATGAAAATGTCAATCCAGAGCTCATCTGGAAGTTGATGATGATAGTGATGGTGTTGGTTGATGTTGGAAGTCAATGGCATTTTTTTTGATGGGGAACTAGGAACTTGAGTTTGAAACTTCGTCCACCTTCAAATACTGGTTTGGTTGTTTTGACTGGGTGAATATTCGAAGGATGTGAAGGGAAGGTCAATGTTATTACCTTCTTGAATCATTTCTCAATTATTCTTTCTTTGTCATTTGTTTGCGAAATCATACTCTAATTTCGTGACTCAACAAAGGAACGCCACGAAATGACTATTATTGCTGTATCGCTAAATCAATGAATGTTCAAAAGGTAAATCTTTTATGTTGACATTCCGTCAGAAACTGTTATGAATCAATTAGTATTAGAGACAGGAATGAGTTTCAATTCAGAAGAATCTAAAGAGGATCGAGTGGCAGATTCGGTCACAGAGTGTGAATCATTGCTGTGGGAATCCTTTGAATGGAGATCCTCATTGTCTTCGTGATGTTTTTGATCCTCACTATTATTAAGGATGATTGCACCTTTTCTATGTCTATGATAGTAGAATATTTGTGTGAGAATAATTGAATCTAGCACCACATTGACATGAGTCTCTAAAATCCATGGAATTCTCGTAAGAAGGTATTGACCATCGATAGAGAATAACCAAATGGAGGTAGCATAACAGATATTGCCAGAGATGGCGAGGAAAAAGAAAATTCGAGAAAGACCTTCTGTGTCTTTGGACTAGCAATATTTGGGGTGGTTCAATGAAAACATGAATGTTAGGATCATGGAAAGACTTTGGATATGGGCACACTACTTACTTTGTAGTTTTTGTAGAGTTGAGGAAATCGAGAACCAATATACATGACGGAGCAAATACAACCAATGATGAAACCAATGATGGATAAGGCATTCTTTGGTGGAAAAACAAAATCATTATGTTTTGGCATCGAAGGAGAGTTGTTGTCATCATCATCGTAAACGCTCAACAATCGTCGTCCATTATTGAAAGATCTTTTTTCTGCAATGGGGAGAATTTCACTTTCCATAATTTGGTAATTATTGAAAAGGATACAAATTGAAATAAAAATCACAATAGATAAAAGAACAGCCCATGAAGATGTTTTCAGTTTTGTGGTTGCTGTTTGCAGAGAAGAATTATTTGGAAGTAATGAAACATGATGATTTTGGTCATCATGAAACTGTTCATCGTCATGCATGATAAAATTATCTTCATCAACGCTGTTTCTTTGAACTGAGGCGAGTTGTTCATGATCCTCGTGAAAGTATACATGATCCATTTCCAAGTCATTCGATTTTTTCGTGACTGCATCCGATAATTTTTTCTTTTTTTGGAAAATTTTCGCATTCCTCAACTTGTAGAAAAAGTATTGTCCAATCACAACGATATCAATTAAAACAAAATATCCAGCTACGAATATTTGTGTCATTAATTGTCCCGACAAAATACAAGCAAGAAAATTGCAAGAATCTCCAATCGTCGATTGTATTAAATATCCAAGAGCCAAAGAAGAGGCACTCTTATTTCTAAAATTTGCAATAATTTGAGGAAATAATGCAATCATCCAAAAGAATAGGCTAGCCATTCCTACATAGAATGAAGCTTGTTCCCAACTCGAATGAACACATTCTCCGAAAATAATATAAATCCATTTAATGTATTGAAGACCAGAAGGGTCCACTTCGGGACATGAGCTCGTTGTTGAATTCGTGGTTGGTGATGATGAATTGTTGGAAGAGATGGTTAATTCAAAGGGATTCATTTTTTTAGACGATGAAAAACGAATCAAAATCCCCAAATAAATTTGGACGAGGTGTTTTGACAGTCAGGAACTAATTTGGAATTTTAATGACATACCAAAAGAAGTCATACTTTTCCCACCAATCGTATCTTGGAATGACTTTTTCGCTGGTGGTTTGATGGGGCCTTATCGCAGATTTTCCATGCTCTCAACATTAATGTTCACTCAGAAGTTTCAACTACCCTGTCCGTGAGACGAAGAAAAGATTGAAATGAAAGTTTACTTTGTTTTAAACACAAATAAAATAATCCTTATAGTCTTCTAATCTCAATTATAACTGTTTCACAAATTCTTGTTGATAAAATAACAACAATTTGAGTTTTTCCAACAAATTTTCACATGCACAATCATTATCCAAAAACTTTTCAGTATTGCTAGTATTGAAGTCCTTTGGATAACATAATTTCATCCTTTCAAGAGTTAAAGCAATATCTTGCATATTGTAGTAAACTTTGGATATTATTGAGAGCCTTAATGAGAATCCCTATATTGAAAAATCAAGGGAAAGAAATAAGGATAAGACTGAAAAAAATCAACAACTTGATGTCCTCCAATAGTGAGCTATTAGAAGGTTTACGAATAGCAAAATAGCAAACCCTTACAAAAGCACTAAGATCCATTTCCACTTTCGCAAAGTGTGTTATCATTCCGACATGTTTGCAAGGCATGGTACGAGCTCACCGATGGAGAGGATCGTACATTTTGGAGAGAATTAATTGGTGCACAACTGCAAGAAAATGAACTTCATTGTTGGCTACACGATTTGCTGTATCGGACTAGGAGAGAGAATACTTTTAAATTTATCAACAAAGAAATTGATGATTACAATATGGAAGAGAGCGATACAAGAAGATTTGTTGGAGTTGTTAACCGATGGATTGTAATCTATTCTCGAGCCCATATTATTCGGACAATAAGTTATTGATATTCTTACTCTTCATCGCTCTTTGTGGTGATGCATTGCGACATTTCGGAAGTAAGCGAGTTGCTCCATCGATACAACATTATTTTCTGAGAATGTTTCAGCCCATGTTAGAGGAAATACGAGATCATCCAACAACATACGAAGTAGTAAATACACAACAAATTGAAAAGCAGTTACTAAATATGAAAATGGTGGAGTTTTTGAAAGATGACTCACTCATGGATTGCTCTGTATGCAATCATTGGATCGAAATGGATGCTTTTAATAGTATAATAATTCCTCGTCAATATTTTATTATGGCTATGGAACACAGAATGAATACTGCTCTTTGGATAATGCAACTGCTAAGTGAGGTAGGAATTCCTGTTTGTAGTATGTTATTATATGATGGCCTCCAAAACAGAAATTTCGACAGAACAGGTCTTGATTTTATTCCTAGAATTTCAAATGGCTTTACTCTTCAATTTCTTGCAGTATGGACAAACAATATGGATGTAGTGAAATGGTGCCTTGGTCAGAAGTCACTAAAATGTCCAATCCCGTCGATTCATTGTTTTCTCAATAGCGACACTCAGAATCCAACCATTCCCAACTCAATATTGAATGGAATATTGACTTGCAATTTTATGAAGGAGAGGAAGAGAGACATAATAGTCCTATTGTCTCTGCTTATTCCATGACCTCAAAAGTTGATGTATTAGGCTTCACAATTTTGCACTATGCAGTGCGAATGAAACAGTTCGAAATGGTTCAATGCTTGCTTCTCGAGTTCAATGCAAACCCTTTCCTACGATCAACCAATATTTTCCATGTCTCCACTATCTTTGTCTCATCATATCGTTAAAAATCATCCAGATGACACTTGTTGTCAAGAAATATTTGAATTATTTGAAAAAAAAGTTTGGATCTCAATTTGTTCAGGAACATTTGAACAAAATCAATTATGAAATTTCTCACACAAAGCACACTATTATTGATCTAGACGAGAGGGAGCAAGAGGACAACGATAAAATCGAATTTGAAAAAACGCCTATCTGTATGGACAACAATCTTTCTAATTCCCTACACACGAACAACATGAAACATCGAACATCCCTCTCGATACCACATGACGATATGACACGTAACATGTTCGATTCAGAAAGTGATGAGTGTGACGAAGAAGAGTTTTTGCAGGAAGAATTTATCAAACAAATGATCGGGAAAGCCAATGACTTGCCCAAGAGTGGTGATCCTTATTTCGATGAACAAGCTTACAAAATTATTGAGAGTGCGCTGTCGTTGACGGAGAAAGTAGAAATGAAAGAACTCATGTATAGCATGACTTATCATCACAAGATCACTCTTGGAAATAGAATAAGTTTGAATGAAGAGTGTGAAAATAAGAAGAGAAAATTTTCAATAATAGATCATCTTGAAGACACCACGAATGTTATGGAAATGAAGAAACGAAAGATTCGTCAGCCCTTCAAGTCACGGAGAGATATGGTGAATCCTAAGCTTCTTTTCCAGAGAGTAGTTAGAGGAATTGCTAAAGACTATAGAGCAGATACAAATTTTACTCCTGGAGCATTATCTTTGCTACAACAAGTTTCAGAAAACGCAGTTGTTGAGGTGTCAAATCTCACATATGAAATTGCTAAATTCTTAATGCTTAGTGACAACATCGTTTCAGAAAAGCATTTTCATTGTGGTTATATTTTGCATTTAGGTGGTAAACCATTGTCGAACATGAAACTTCAATTCGAGGATTTACATGATCATTTCAGAGCTTTAAATTTTATTCGTGACAACAGCACACCATCATTGAATGGAATACTTTTCAGGATGCATGAAGAGCTGGTATTTCTATCTTTTTTGTGATGAAGATTGTGATTACTATATGGAAGAGGAAGATGAGAAGGACAACTTGGAAGAAGAGTTCAAATTTTGAAATTCGAGATTTTTAGAAACTCATATTCCATAATTATTTAAGAAAAAATGTCAACCAGCGACGCAGACGAATTCATTCAAGCATGCAAAAGTGGAGATTTGCCTCTGGCCCGCAAGTTGTTTCGTCCTTTCACAATTGATGATGAATGTAGCAAAGGCGGTGGTGTATGTTATATGTATATATGGAATTGATCATCAACCATTGAATGTCCATAATGACACGATCATTCGAAATTAGAATGCTCTTTACTGGGCTTGTTTAGAGGGACACTTTGAAATTGTAAAATTCTTGATTGATGAAGGAGCCGATGTTAATTTTGAAAATATTTTCAATGAAAACAACGACACGACACAACGTGTGGAAACAGCCCTTCATGCGGCCGTTGAAGCAAACCATCCAAATATTGTTTCTCTCTTGTGGGAATTGGAAGATATTGATCCCGACATTGAAAATCATGTAGGTATTCGTGATTTTTTTATTGTTTATAAAAATGGTTATGATGATATTGACCATCTGATGACGGAATGCAATTGAATGAAAAGAATGAAGAAACGGCTCTAGATCTTGCAAAGAAATTGAATTATCACGAGTGTGAGGAAATTCTCTCAAAAACATCAGAAACAAAGAAGAGAAAAATTTCACATGACAGCGATGATGACGACAAGGATTCCAAAAGTTCAAATTCGCCAATTGAGTTACCCTCTCGTTCGGATTTTAAAAAGTTTCAAATTTCTTCCATGGATGTTGAATGGATAGTCGAACAAGTGAAAAATAAGAAAGATTGGATTCATAAATATCTACTCTTGTGTGAAAAATGGAAACAAGAATGTCTGAGTGATACCATGAGAATATCAGAAGCGAGCGTGGAAGTGGCATTCAAAATTCTAGAAGATTTAAGAAATGATTTTTTTGGGACTTGTCACTTGTTGTGGTCATTGCACTAAAAAGAAGAGCCACAAAAAATCTGATGATGAGTGTGACTATGGCAATGATTGTTCATGTCCTTGCAGTCATTGTTGTACGAATAAGGATTCGGTC